CATGCCCTGGATGATGAATATGCCGCCAAGTAAATGGTATTTTGCGGCACACATGGGCGAGCTAATGCGCCATACAGGCGATAATCTGAGCGGTCCCATGGGTTGCGCCAATCTCTGGCCGAACTGCCCCATCAGCTCCAAGAAGCTGATGAAGCTTAGCTACAAGGTGCGTGTTTAGGCGCCGGCTAATGTGATCATAGCATATTTAATTAAGAACTAGTTTAAGTGTACACAACAAACACACACGATTATATCTATCTGGGGCTCTATGCCGAACAGACTCACCTATTGTACTATATGTTTTCACGCTGTAAGCCGTCGTCTAACTGGCTGAAAGAAAAGTGCCTGCAGTTTGCCATAATGGAGCCTGCGGCATGACTGATGTGACAATTTGCAATTTGTATCTATTAGCTGTAAGTGCTAAGTAGTCATTTAAGTGTGGCTAGTCTATCTCAATTATATGTTAGTTTTAGCATTATGCCTAATGTTAGTTCGAGGCGCGCGTATAATTGTACAAAAAAAAAAAAGCATATTGTTATTTAATATGAAACCTGAGTTGCTTCTGTTTGTTTCATTTTTGTGGGCTTACTAATGATAGTTATGGGTTTTTAATTGCGCTGCATCATCTTTGCGACTGTTACGCGGTAAACGCCCTTCGCCTTAGCATGGGCATTAAATGGCAAATGCATTTGAACATGTTTTTTTAATTGTTTTTTTTTCAAGTGCTAGGAAATATCGAATTTAACAGCTGTGTAGATATTAATAGAAATTGTAATACGATTGGAAGGTCGTACTACGAATGCTTCAATCTGTGATTAAAATCCAGTTTGTACTGTGACCAAACCCCAATCACAATAACCTAACAGCAGTGACTAAACACTTTCAATTTGTTTTATGCCATTCCCATAATGATTTTCGAATAGCTTTTTGTAGTGTGCCTGTGGCTTTTACATCGCCTTCTTAATGATAGTACATGCAACTGACTTCCTCGTCATAATAATTATACGCTTGTATTGATCTTGGTAAATTATTTCACATTATATTAAACCCGTCTAAAGACTGCGTTTAATCAGTGCATTTAAATGCTGTGCCATGTCACAGCATAAAAAGTCTTTTGTTTCTATTATAATTTGAGGAATCGTTGGTTTTGATTTTACAACTTTTGTTCGGTGCAATCAATACAGTTTTCAGACTAATTAAAAATGGCAATTTAAATGCAATGAAAGGATACAACAAATTGGCGCTTTTGCTTCATTTATTGCTTGTTTTTATTACAAATATTTTAGCAAAGTGTCATGGAAACAGAAAAATCGGACGAGAAGTGGTTCTTCTTGGTTCTGAACAGACACAATCCTGGGAAAAGCGGATAAATCCCAGCTACTCTCTCCATTTTGAATTCTTAAGCCCTAAAAACCGTTTGAGAGGTTATTTTTAGAAGATTTCTTGACTAAATCAGATCTGAATGACGATCATCGAATAAAGCGTATACTGAATTTTCAAATAAACCTGCAAATTTTCAGTGCATACTTTTGGGCGATATGCAAAAAAATACACCATACAGAAAACGAATACACTTAACATGCAAATGGATCGTTGACATTGCGCACCTCAAACGAAAAGGTAATAAAAAGCAAAACAATATTTGTGTTCGATGATTGCCTCATTGAACATGCTTGGAGCGTAAAAATGACCACACACCAAATGGAAAGAATCTGAGCGAAATTGCGGGATTATGACAGACATACTTGATGGCTAATTAAGTATTAAACAATAGCCAAACGGTAGACAGTAAACAGAAAGTAAACAACTCGATTCGGTATGCGATTCTTTTGCTCTCATGCTCATAAATCAGTCAGCGACACGTGCTCTTGCTTAAAAGGCTGCCTTTCCGATTTATTTGCGACACTTCTTGATACTCTGCAATCCAAACTACTTTTATAGTATACTAATTATCAAGGCGCCGCAAACACGTTGCATTTGGCAAGTTTTCAAGTTGCCAAAGACAAATCCAAAGGGGGGTACAAACATAAAAAAACCAGAAAACAAAAACAAGCTCGAAATTACGTTTTTGCCTTCATTGGATGGCTTCACAAAAACAATAAACAATAAAAGTAAACAATTTGTAATATCAATGGAATTGGGTCAGTTTGCCAGTTGTTACGCTCGTTGCGTGCCAAAAGTGGACTCTGGTGCACTTTCATTGTATCGTTCAGGCGCTTCGATTTTGGGACAGACCAGCAGCACTTTATTTTTTGGTCTGACATTTGACAAGTCGTTTGTTGTTGTTGTTATTGTTACTGCTGTTTGTTGTGCAATGCCAGACGAGTGCAGCTTATGCGTAACATGACTTTCAACAGCCGTTGCTGGTACTCAAACTTCTATCAATTTGTCAGGTTGCCTAATATTTCCGCATTGCATTGCCAAAACAAAGGAAAGTCTCTCCCCAAACAACCCCAACAGTTCGCACTCAAATCCGGGCCTGCGAGCGAGCAACCAAAACGGCAACAAGTGCCAGGCAACTGGTAAAACCCGAAAATTACGCGGCTCAACAAAGAAATAAATACAAGAAGGAATAGTTTTTGACGGCGTGACGAAAACCAAATACCCTTGCAAATGCAATCATTTAGAGAGTCTCGCATTACGACTGTAAATTATTTTAATATAATTTGATAAGATAATAGAGAGAGTAGAGCCTAACAACCCATTACAATACAAATTAGTGCAAAAGATTATGAGCAGAAATGCCTCTTGCCATGCCTAAACTAGGGTATGACAACGCCGCAATTCCCACCCACTTTGAGGTACGCGAATAAAAAAGTTTCGTTGCAAATGTAAGCCAGGCCAACAGTGGGAGCTGCCGAGCTGCAGTGCTCTGTAATTGCGGCTTAAGTCGCAAGTGTTAACAGGCGCCGTCTTGCGTAACCGGGCAACCGACTGATTGAATGACTGGCCAATTGCAGCCCGGGGCTGAGGTGGGGCGAACATGTTGTCGGTCAAGTTTTGGCTTAAAACTGATCGACCGACTGATCGACCGACTGATTGAACACTCATTGTGTCAGTTCTTGCTATTGTCTGCTAATGGTCGCAATTGTCTGGCTAACTGTAAGCACAGCTAGTCGACCAACTGTCCGAACTGATTGCGGGTCTTGCAGTCTTAATAAACTGAGTAGCCGTGATTGGTTTTGGCTGCTGGTTTTCCTCGTTCTTGAAGCTTATTTTTTATGCATTTAACAAATGAGCTTGTAATTGAAAGTCATGTGGCACATTAATTACAAGCCAGAGACAAATTTGCGGTTGTTTGAGCAGGTTGCTGCGAACGACAAGCGTGGACAATGACACGTGCTCCAAAGATCAGACCACGCACTTGACAAATGATTGGTTAAACAATTGCTAAAGTTTAGTTATTCAAATAAACTGCAAATTGTGTTAATTGGCAAAATAAAAAAAACTCATGAATAGCTTTGGCTTGCTGCCGATTTGAAATGGGTTGTGTAGTAATAATTTGGGCACTAGCTATCCATTGGGCGTGTCTTTTGAGTAGATTTTTTTATTATTTTAGTTATTATTTAATAATCATACTGTTTAAAATTGCTAAATCTGAGCCTTAGCAGGCCAAATGATTTAATAAATTAAATAAGAAACTATCAACCTTTAGTCAGTCAAACATTTTCGCTAAATATAATCAGACTTTTATCCTGGATGGGATTTAAGCCGAACGCTTTAAAAAATTGTTCACTATAGCCAAACCTTAAACCTACCTAATTTATTAAGAAATATTTTAATCAATACAAAAATAAACTATTGAGATAGGCCAATCCAAAAAGTATAAATAGCTTTGATCCCAACTATCTCGCATTTATCTACACATATTTGATGGATACCAGTTTTGGGTAGAGGTCAAATGTAGCCCGAATCTTGTGTATGAAAATACGTATGGATTACAATATTTTCAGTACAACGGGCAATTACAGATTAAAATGGTACATAGAATTTTGAATATATATGACAAAAGTTGGAAACAAAACCTGGCATAGATAGTGAGCCAACGGGCAGGAAGTTGTATCGAACCGCTAATCATCAAGACCTTTTCCGGGTTTTGCAGCATTGATAGAAACGTGAGTAGACGGTCTTCAAAACATCGTAAGTTTTGTGTGAAACTCAGCATGCCTTTTTTTTAGGGTATTAGCCTATATAGTTGTGCGTACATGGATATAATTAAATTTTATTGTTTTTTTAACTATTCTTGTTTTTTCTTAACAATTCGCCCCATGAAAATTACTAAACTATTTAACAGATGTTGGTCTCGGACTGTGCCTTATACACATCTCTCAGCGCTGTTGAAGCAGCTAACGGAAACGAGCGGCTGGGCAAACGTGGCTTAAACAACCGCAGATTAAGTAATTGATATGCAAAGCCAACAGTAACGCATACCAGACCGTAGACTGCAGACACGCCAAAAGTCTTAGCCAAAAGGAAATCACAAGTGAAAAAGTAATGGCCACTAACATGGAAAATTTCATAACTTTTCATAATTAAAGGCAAAAAAAAAGAAGAAAATGAAGAGAGAGGGAAATGTACAGAAGAGAGACTGACTTTGTTGAGGGGGGCAACAGCTGAGCAATAGCTGGTTTGTCCACTTTTAAAGGTGTTGTTGGTGTTGGTGTGTGTGTGTGCATACACACACACACACACACACTCACACGCACACTCTCACACATACTCATTCATAAGATAGTAGGCTCGGCCTGCGCCCTCCACTTGACCATATTGGCTCACTTTCACTTGTCTTTGGCTTCTTTTGCTTCCGCACGAAACTTGGTCAAAATGCAAAGCAAACTTGGCCGCCAACTTTACTCAGCTCAAAGAGAGTCGTGTTTGACTTTTTTTTTTTTTTTTTTTATAGTTTTACACTTTATCATTTTGTCATCCTCTCTCTTTGGTTTAGTTTTTTGTTTGCCGCGCTTTGGCGGCTTGAGGCGGCCCCAAGTCGCGTCAGTCATTCGAAGACTTTAAACGCACCAAGTTGCCTAGTTCGGCTGCACGACTACTCGACTCCTCTTTCGATTGTGTGTGGATTCCACATAGAGTATTCGCCATGAATCTGCGCTACATTTGCACATTGTCGCTGCTGCCCACGCTGTATGTGCTGCTGGTGCTGCTGCTGGAGTATGTGGAGCAGGGCCTCGCCCAAAATCCGGATCCGTTGTTCGAGTTGCCCGTGCAGCTGGTCGGTTTTCCAGTTATTGTCCTGTCGGTGCGTCTGTCGCAGTTTGCCAAAAAGTTGGCTTACTCCCTCAATCCAAGTAAGTTAGCCCTTTGCTGAGTGTGAAAGTGCAACTACCGCATTGGGGCATGATTCAGCTGTTGGGCATTTTAATTTATTTTCATTAAGTGAAAGTCAAAAACTGTGCATAAATTAATAATTTGCCATTATTCAAATCGACCCGTGTGTGTGTGTGTGCGTGCAAAATCGAATTAAGCAAACAGATAAATTTCATAAATAACTACAACAAAAATTTTGTAGTGAAAACCTTACTTATAAATACCACAAGCTGTCAGGGCATGAGAAAACAATTTCTAATACCAAATCTGGTATTCAAATCAATATTTACTTTTTCTTGTCGTATTAATAGGCTTTCTTAGTTATAGCTAATCCTGGATAATTAGTTCATTTACCAATGACAGAAAAAATATATTGAATAGATAAGTGAGAAAATAAAAGACAATAATGGTGGATAATTAAATAGAAAATCTAGATAATTAAATATTAATAAATTATAATATTATCAATATTAAAAAATAATTAAAGAAGAATATACAAACGTAAATTCAATAAATAATCAATACAATTTCTTTATATTAAGAAATGTCATACTAATTGTTTGCTTACACTAAACACTATCAAAACACAACACAAAACCCGCCTGCCTGCCTCTTGCAACATTTGTTGACAAACTAAGCTCTCTTGTGCATCTCATCATGGTAGGCGCACTCTTGAGGTAAACGCGCTCATTGCGCCGCTTCGCATAAAACCAGACCCAAATGTGTGACAAAAGTGGCGGGCGACTGGCTCAAATGCCGGAGCTGGCGGCGGCAGTTCGTCGTGCACGTCCACTTAAGCAAGCCAAATGGGGTCAAGGCTGTGGAGACGACAACTGAAGTCAGCCAAGTTGTTGGCCGGAATATTTTACAATCAGCCGTTTGGCTAGTTGTTAGTTGTATTGCGGGCAACGTTTTATTTATTATTATTATTTTTTTTTTTTTTGGGTAAAACCAAGTGCTTGATGACAAGCAATCATGAATGCTAACAGGGAATTACCAAAGCTGCCCATTGAGCTGTGCTGCACTCTCAACTCCAATGCGAACTTGTGCAATCAACCACAGCTTGGTAACTTTGGCATTCTCATCTGCTGCCACTTTGACTAATTTCGCGTTTTATACGCAAGCAGCCAACGACAGCTAACAGCCAACTGCTAACATAAAACTTCCCTTTTGCCACTCTTGCAGATACGTATCGTTCGCGTAGCAGACGTGACGCTGCCCACCCACTAGCTTTGGACGCCCAGTTGGCCCAGAAGGAGATACAGCGCGAGTTCGGGCCACAGGCTTGCATACTCGAGGAGCCGTGTCGTGTGCATGCCTCACGTCCAGGCAGTCAACGGCAATCTGGTAGCGACGGCAAGGCAAAGCTACATGCGCCCTGGTCGGAGGTCTTGAGGTAGGTCAAAGTTTTCGGTTCACAACATGAATCTGCCTGCAAAGGGGATGCTATATGTTGGTAAAGGTACTTATAGCAAAATAATCATAATCGATAAGTACTACTAGAGGATTTAAATCTTGACTTAAAACGTAAAAGCAGAGGGAAATTAAGCGAAAAGACAACCATTAAAATACATAAGAATATTTTAATCCAACAAATTTACTAAATAGTTTAGCTGGCCTTTTTTTAAAATATTTTTAAAATATTATTAAAAAAATTAGTACTTATGTCCAGCTGCTTTTTTTTAAATTTTATATATTAATATTAACGAAAGGCAACATGGTTAAGTTGGTTCTGCTGCATCGATTTTTATTATTATATAAAATCATTGAATGCAACATTATCAATTATTATCAATGGATATTAAGATCGTAATGCCAAAGATAATATATAGTATTTATATTGTCTTTGCTTTTGGTGCATGAATATAAAATAAAAGAGAAATAGTCAAAGTTCTCTTAAAATTCTATAGCATAGAGCATCGGAGTGTCGGTGTTGTCAGAGCTTAGATCATTTTCTTAGTTATTTCTTGTTCAAGTGGAACGCTGACTTTATGGCTTCCCAACTGGCGACTGACAGACAGTAACAACTTGAACTTTTGTTGCCCCCTCTCTTTCTCATTTGGCATTCCTCTTTCTCTCTCTTCCTCTCTCGCTCTCTCTGTCTCTCGCTCTTCGAAATGAGCATTTCAGATTGCATTTGTTATTGCTACGTTGCAATTTGGCGCTGCTGTTGTTGTCATTTGGCAAATGAATGGCTTGTTTTTAGTTGAAAATGTTTTCCAATCAATTTTTATTATTTCTTCGTTGTTGTCATCCCTTCCTTGCCCCCCGATAGCCCATCGTTGCAGTCTCCAGCTCATTGTCATTGGGCATGCTAACTCATCTGCGCATAATTTAATGTCTTCTCCCTGTCTGTCTGCAGTTGGATTCATGTACTTGTTACTCCTAAAGCTTAAATGTGCATGTCATTGCATTGGCATTGGCTTTGGATTTCAATTTGTAAGTTTACATAAATTTTACCAGTTCCTGATGAGTTAGTTGCCCTTGCAGTCGCTATTGTCATGGTAATGCAATGCAATGCACAACGTTTCCAAGTTGAGGAAATTATTCTTTTCCGCACTGTTTGCCATTTATTTTTCTTTCAGTTAGTTCTTCCTTCCCAGAAACACCCGTCGCCGCGCAGTGATTCATAATTAATTTCTCTCGCTCCCTTTTGGTTAGAGTTTGTATAATAATAGAACTCTTAAGTTTTGGCCTGGCTGCTCACTGATAGTGAATGTATTCTTCTTTTTATAGCAAACTATTTTAAATATTTAATGCTTGTTTATTTTTGGCAAGCAAAAGATAGTTTAAACCTTAAACAAAAGCTTTTTGCATAAATACCTCTGGCATACGTGTCGTATGCGCAACATTTGGCATTCATAGTTTTGGCCATTGTTGTAAATTTCATTTAATATTGTGTCATATCGCACTCGACTCAGCCCAAATGTGTTGCACATGCATCTGACATTTTCACACTTAACATGCAAAATTTTCAACACTCAAAGTTTCTTTTGCCCCCGTCATTGACTCAGACCCAAGCCCAGACCCGAACGTGGAGCAGTCAGCCCAGATCAGCGCCAAGAGCTGGCCCCAACGTGTCAAGAGCAAATATTCAAAATTATTTTTGAAATGTACTCAACGTCTGTCGGTTTGTCGTTTCGTCTGTCCTGTTGCCTTCACCTCCGCCTGCCCCTTTAGCTACTCGTTTTGTGTGTTGTTTGTTTAGTTTTCGTTGCCCTGCAAATGTAATTGGCATTAGAAGTTTTGTACGTTTGCCCACGACGTGTTTTTTAATAATAAAATATGATTAAAGTTTTTGATTAAATTTATGCAAGCGCACAGTGCAAATCGGTCCCAGCACAGCTCGGTTCGTTTTAGTTTAGTTTCTGCAATGGTCAGTTGTATTTTTGATGCTGTTGCACCTTTTTCGCATGGCACTCTTTCGGCTCTGGAATGGACCTGAGGGCACTGCAGATGTGTTTGTTACTGAGTTGATTAAATTATCCCATTGCAGACGTGTGAAATTTGAGTTATATGTGTGCGTCTCTTTGTGTGTGTGTGTGTCCAGATGTGACTTGTGCTTGAGCGCACTGCAAGGTAATCAGCAACAAATTAAGTGGACGAGCATGAGCTCTTAGCTAGAGATGGGCGCGTGATTCGACAATAGGGTATCTATATTATATAAATGTTATGCTCACTGAAATTTTCCTTTGGCAATTATGTTTGAGCGTAGAGCCAATAGACGAGAAGTTGCCAGTTCAATTCAAACAGTAATTGTAATCCTTTAATAATATTTCTTATTATTTTCAAAGTAATAATCCCTTTAAATAATCGCAAAAGGGCGAGTACTATGCATTCTGTATTGAAATTGAAGCGAAAGACAGAAACAATTACCACATGAATTTTTAACCACATTCTTTTGACCTCAGCATATATATATATATTACTTGTATGTTTTTGTAAAGGATCATAATGCATAAACTAATACCAGCTTACATGCACTGACTAACCAAAAAAACATATTTACAACGCATCGCATGTCTTTAACATGTCACTGAATTCAACCCGAACCACTGGTTAACCATAAAACCTATGAGCCTTGGTCCTGCCCCTGCCGAAGTGGAGCTCGTGGTAAAGCGCAAATTACTTTTGTTTTTAATATGGCCCCAGTCCAAGGCAAGACTCTTGTTTTGGTGGTGCGTGGAAAGGGTATTGTGATGGAAGCCTGCCAGAGACTTGTGTATATTACCCGCTACTTATAAGTAATTATTTTTGTAATCCGCTTTCGTTGCCGACTATTGTGCCTGCGCCTGACGATAATGATGATGATGATGATGACTGACTGAACAACAACTCTTTGCATACACGTACCACTCAACCACTCAGGAACTACAAAGTGCAATCAACCGACGGCTTGAAACAATGGTATCTGCTCTCGGTCTTTATCGGCGATGCTGTGCGGGATGTGCCGCTATGCAAGCACCTGGCCAAACGGATGCCATGTCCAGGCACTGGACCACTGCCGCCGCCACAGCCTCGCTAAGGAGTGGTCGCATGTCGGACTAGGCGGCACTCGAACATGGGCGGGCTTTATTTTATTTTTTATTGTAGACGTCGCAGTTCCGGGGGCATCTGCAGCATCTACATCGCATCGTGTAGTCAGTCAATCGCATGGACATCTTTGTTACGTTCTTTCCAACCCCAACTCCAACTCTGTTTCTATTTATCGTCACTCTTCATTAATTCGTACTGTTAGTTGTTTTTAAGGGCTTTAATTTAAATGACAGACAGCATAGGCTTAGACTTATATAAGTATGTACGAAGAATAAGCAAATAAATCAACAAAAATCAAATGAAAATTGTATGTGCCTATGCCGTGTCATGCCTGCGCTTTTAAGAGCCCCCTTATCCCACAGACCCCGTCCAGTTTGAAGTTTCATCTGCTCGGACAATGCATTTTACACTCTGCCCCCGTCTTACAAACCATTTGTCTGGTTGCAAACAAAAATTGATACGCCAAAAAGCATGCAACGGAAAAAAACGCATGCATACTTTGCAGCGGAGCGCACAAATTGTTGACGCAAGGCATTAAGCTGCAGACTCGTTGTGAATACCCTGTAACCGTGCAGAAAGGCTATATTGAACTAGTAAGTGCATGAAATGTATTAGAAAAGATTGAGCAGTATCTTTTACTTATTTGCAGCCCCTTTTGGATAACCTTTTTAATAGATTTAAAAAGAGAAGATACTTCTCTTATAATATTTGTTATATAATATCTCCCAGTAAGAATAAATAGGATTCAATAAGAAACTTACCCTTGGCAACCTTACTTTTTAAAATCCTTGCATAAACAATGCTTCTATGCTGCCATTTTGACGTTTTTGCATTATTATTTATTCATTTGCATTATCCTCCTTATTTCTTGTGGCTAATCTGTAAGAAAGCAGACAGAATATGATGTGCTAATGTGTAATGTGTATTGAATATGTGAGATTTTTAGAAAAACTAATGTTTAATTCAATTATAAGTTAGCATACAAGATATTCTCATTTATATGATATAAGCAGTTTCTTTATTGCTCGATTGCCGATTACAGAGTATTTGGCCGTCTGCTTCTTACTGTTACATATGTCAGCCACTGTTGTGCTCTCAGTTGTTTCGCTTCAAGTACTACAACTACAGCTTTTGGTAAAATACACAACCCTAACCCTGGCCGCACATTGGTAGCAGAAACCCGCACTAGAGCGCTGGTCGTCGCTTTGCTATTTATTAACTCGTTGCATATGTTTGCAGGCACTGTTGAGCGCCCCAGCCCGAGTGCTGTAAATAAAACGACACGACTGCGACGCAATGTAGACAAGCGTAACAACAAGCGCTGCTTGGAGCTTTGGCGACGTTGACAACCCTGCTGTGTGCTGTGTGTGCCGCCGCACAAAAGTACGCTGCACTTTTTTGCACTTTGCATTTTTGTGTGATTTGGCACTGTGAAACGTTCGTCCCATTTGGGAGCTGGGACCAAAACAAAAAAACAACTGAAATTGTCTGTGGAAGGTTTTCTTTTTTGTTGGTTATATCCCTGGTGTCTCTCGGTTTATCACATTTAATTTTTCAAACGTATTCCCCGCGATGACGCCGTTTGTCTCTAGATTTATGTGCCATTTCTTTTGCATATTTCATATGTTTGAAATACTTGTTGATTTGTTGCTATCTCTGCTACAGAAGCATCTTGTTTTTGTGATTTAAAAAGTATTTAATAAATATTTAAAGGCATTTAAGCGATAACAATTATTTACAGGCCTTAAGCTAATGGGAACTTGCCTCTCGTCTGACGTATATACACTCTAGAAATTTAACCGCTGCCCAGATACACCTTGCGTCCGTCGGGCCTTATGTAATACTCGTTTACACCTTGTGAATTAGTTACATATATATTTCTATCATCCTCGTGTTTGGGTCTCCTCGTCGAGGTAGTCTGGTAAGCGCTGCTATATCGGTTGTCGCTTATATAGTTCGCATTCGGATAGTTGTACTGAGCATTATAGCTGGGTTTGTCAAGCGACTCGACGAATCGCACGGTATTCCCCGGCAGGTATTCGCCATAGTTCATAAAACTTTGACTGTGACTTGCCTGATAGTCTGCTGATGTCTCCGTCTCCAGACGATAATAGGAACTCGGTCTATGCTCATCACTGACCACCAAACGTTGCTCTTTCTGTTCGCCCCTATCATTGTACTCGTAGCTGGGCGCATAGGTGGGTCGGTTCAGGATCTTACCTCTGCGTATGTGACGCTCGTAATGATCGGGAAATAGGACTCTGGCGCCGCGTTGAGGTGGTGCTGCATCCTCATATACAGCATTTGGTGGTGTATGTGGCTCCGTTTGTTGTTCTTCTCTAAACTGTTTTTCTCTGAATCGTTCCTCTTCCTCTCTGTACTCCTGCACTTGCTCTTCTCTAAGCAGCTTATCAAAGTCCTCGAGCTCCTCATTGGTATCCTTGAAAACAATTCGCTTGCCACGCCTCTTCTCAACGCCGTAATCTTCCTCGCCAAGTCCGTTGGGCAGCACAGCTGTCCAACCCTCGGCCAGTTGCAACTTCTTGGCCTGCCGCTCGCTTTCGCTTTGGTCTTGGGGAAATCTCAATTTACGTTGAGCTGCATCTCGATTGAATTCGTAGATAACTTTTCGCTCGCTGTCGCGCAGAGCTTCCGGCGTGGCATCCGGAAATCGCACAGCTCCGTTGTCATGATGCTCGGCGCCTTCTTCGTTTTTGAAGTGCAGTATGCGACCCTCGCCCTCAACCTGGTCTTCGGGAAATTGCAGCACACCTATCAGCTCGGTGTGTGCCTGGGCTGCCTCCGCCTCGTCATCATCTTGAAACTTGACTGGTGTCTGGGTATCCAAGTCATCTTCTTCATCGTGAAAATCAACGGGCATCAAGCGGCCATTATCCGTCTGAATGTTGCGTTTAATTTCCGTTGGCAACAGACTCCTTCTCCTTCGGCGACGTCTTTGATACTCCACGCCGCTTAAATACTCGGACAGCACTCGGGTAAAGAAGCTGCCGATGCCATCGGCAATGTCCGTACTGGGTCTTTGTGTGGGTCGCGGCACAGGCCGAGGCGTTGTGCGCGTCACCTGACCCAGCCCCTGTTCCTGCCCGCCGCCCGTCAGGGCAGCGAGTATGCTGAACAATGAGCCTCCGCCAGATTCGCTTTGTTGTGCTACAGTTTGTTGCTCTTCCGGCTCGCTGAAGAACTTAAAAAACCCGCCGCGATGATTGTTCAGATAGTGAATGATTTCCATCTAGTAAGTTTGAGTTTTTAATAATCATTAAACACCCTTGATTGGTATGCTCACTGCCATCAGCTTACCTCATTCTTTGGGCATTTTTCATAGGTCTGAACACAGCTTCGTTCGCCCCCGCTAATTCCAAGCAACGCAGCGCGTCCATAAATGAGAGCTGGCGAGGCGACTGGGAAGCCAGCTAAGAAGCTGTTGGGAATGAAATTAATGAAAAAGTCTTAAAAACTTCGCAATTTAAGTATTTCCTGATATCTGAGTACCAAGGTAATTTGTAGGTACTAGGTACTTTTGGGCTGAAAGGTTTGTTACACTGTTTTTTGGAATCCTTTTTTAATTTATAAGTATTTCTAGTATATACTTGTTGGGAGTAGACATCTCCGACTCGACATATACTTATTTTCTGTATAGCCACGTTGTCCCTTCATTTGGATGTTTTTTACAGAGTGTATTTTAATTCTGTGTAACTGTGTGACGCATCGAAGGATATGTTTATGATTTCGTAAGGTATTCCTGTTTTAAATCAACAGATCTTATCATTATCTTATTAGTAGAAGAACGATCGCTCAAAAATGAAGTTTTGTATGAAAATCTTCTCCTTTTTTTAAATAACGACCTAGTCGGAACATTTAATTTTCCCTGTGATATCTAAAAAGTGGGTTTTAACTATTTTTACCTATAACCATATGAGAATAGACGAATTTCTTATAATGCAATGAAAAACCTGAAGGAATATAGGTACACAGCTACCTTCTCTTAAATTCAAGGGTTATTATATTCTTCATTATCTAACAAATGTTGCCCAGCTGCCTTTTAGGCTGCTTATAAAACTTAATTGAGTAAATGCCAATTTGGAACGAAAAGCCAAACAATATCAATTTACAGACGAGATGCTTCAGACACACACAACCCCCGCCCGCTGGCCATGTCTCAATCAGAGCGTGGCTCATTTCATAGAACAATCAATATGGTCGGGCCAGATCGACTTGCATAATGAATGAGGTCTAATCCCAGTTAACGCTTGCTTGAAATTAAACGAGCACAGAACGGTGGGAGTTGCCATCGGATGGGAATGTAAATTTAATAATATTTACTTGCAAGTAAAGCCCTTGCCACATTATTTCGGATGGCAATTGCGCCAGCTCTGGTTGGGTACTCACTTGGTTATGGCAGGCGATGTAATGAAGCCTGGCAGTTGGCCACGTAACGTTTGACCGGCAATCATCTGGCAGAGCACCTTGGGCACACACTGCAAATCGTCGTTGCGTGCGATGTTCTCCAGGGCTCTAATGAGTTGTGTGTTGGGCGGTCGGGCGTGCTGCCCCGTGCTTTGCGTGTCGGCGAAAGCGCCTAAGAGACTGCCTAATGGGCTGCTGCTGCTGGAGGAAGAGGATGATGCTCCACCACCGCCACCGCCCAAAAGCAGATTTGTAAACTGTGGCGCATATTGTTGCGTCGAGCTCAGCAGCGACGCTAGAGTGGCCAAGCCACCAGCTCCAGCCCCTGCTGCTGCCGCTGGCTGCTGGTAAGGCGGTCGATAGCCAGGCGACGGACCAGGACGATAACTGAACTGCGGCTGGGGTGGTATCTCGCCAATTTGATACTCATAGTAATTGTGTCCCGGTCGCTGCTGTTGAGACAGCGGCCGCTGAGGCAGCGGCTCATACTGATAGTGCGTGGGTTTGTATTCCGACTGCGACTGCGAGGGAGAGTGCGAGTGGGCAGGGTAACTGGGAGGTCTCTGCAAATAATTACCAAAGTTGTTTGCGTAATTAGACGACTGCGTGTATTGCGGCTTCGGCACATATATCGATGAGCCGGCTGCCAATGGTCGGTTGTCATTGACATCTTGGCGATTGTAAGGCGGCCGATGGTGCTCGCGGGGTCCCTGAGACTGGGTTTGTTGCTGCGGCTGCTGCTGGGATTGCTGTGGCACAAAGTTGGATGTCTGCTGTGTGGCATAGCTGGGCGGCGGGTAATCATGCGAATCGTATGAAATTTTATTCGCTGTGGAAGCTGTGGGTGCTGTCACAGGTCGGCGATAGAGCGTCGTGGGGCTCTCATCGAAGACATAGCCGGGCCGCTTCAAGTACACTTCGTCCGCAGCAACGGGGCGTGAATGTTGCGGCGCGTGGCTGCCTACGAGCAGCGACGATTGCACCGTGTAGACCTGATCCCCCTGCTCCTCGGGCTGTTCGCGTTGATACTGAATGTAGCTGGGCGTAGCCTGTGTGGCCGTGGGCGTGACCGTAGGCGTGTAGCGATAGTTTTGCTGTGTAAAGGGATCCAAATAGCTGACCACCGGTGTGGTGGGTATTTGGGTGCTGGCATAGCTATGGAAAGAGGTCTGCTGTTGTGGTCTGGTCTCGTCTGGAAAGGAGAACTGCTTGTCCATCGCCGTCTGTTGCGAATTTAGGTTGGCCAAGGAGCTGGGCACTTGATGCTTGTAGTTGGGCTCCAAATAACTGGGAGGATAACGCTGTATGCCACCGTGCATCACATCCGAGGGCGTAAATTCAAGCATCTGTGAGGGTCGAAAACCGCCGTTCGTTACCCGGGCGGACGTCTGGGAGGACTGTGCAGCAATGGCGGTCACCTCAATCATTGGCTCCGAGGGGAAAAAGTTTTTCAGCTTTGCGGAAATGTGTTTCTGCCTGTCAGGAAGTGGGCATGACATTGGTTTAGTTGACAGTTTGGGTGGGGTGGGGAAACAGTAAAATTTGCATAAATTAAGGTAGACGTGAACTCACTCGTCATTTCCGTCGCCATTTCTTATGCACGACACGTCGCCGGCTAATGCGATAATTAGAAATGCAATTTTCCATAGCATACTTTGCGGCTGTTGTCGAAACTGCATGCTGCTGCCGAGCTGTGTGAGTGTGTGTGTGTGTGTGTGAGGAGTTTGGCCTTTTGTGTTTCTTGCAATTGGAAATCCCCAGCTAACGTCAGCAATTCATAAGCGTAAGCCACTTTTCGCACGTCGCCTGCAACAATAACATAAAAACTTGCTGTCAGCTCTCTTGACTACAAACTGGAAAAGATTGCGAATTTCTCTAGAGTCCTCGCGGCAAATTTCTCGCTACATTTGCACATAAATTTATAGATTTACCCCATCGAAGGAGTGGGAATGCAGCACATTTGCATTCATATTAATGCAATTCTCACGTGCTCGTTGAGATCTCGACGACGACGACAACGACAACGACGACTTGACATTTGTTTAATTCTATTTTTTATGATTGCGCCGTGTTTATGCAGCCGCACGCCGCAACTCGACTCGACTTGCCACCGTAATCATCAGCTTTATTTCGACGATGACTACGCCGTATAATCATATCCATAATCTTTAGCTCTTTTGGGTGCTCGTCTCTGTGTCTGTGTCTGTGTCTGACTCTGACTCCGACTCTGACTCTGGCTTTGCTCTAGTGCACTGCGCCTTGAGCCCAGTGCTAAATTATTCATATTATTGTGACGTTTTATTTGTCGCCATTTGTTGCCACAGAGCGTTGACAGGCCTTAAAAGTTTAATACACACAGTCTGACACGTTCACTGCTCTGGATTTTTATTTGCTAAGCTTTGGGTAGTTAAAATGATGCAGTCTACACTTGTTCTCGTAAAAAATACTCAATATTATAATGCTGCAAATTCATATAACAGATAGACAGCTTAAGTAATAAATTTAAATTTAATAAATTTTTGAAGATCAGTTAGCATGGCAGCTACTTAATTAATGACAAGCCTTTTGAAGGCAGCTCAAAATTATTCCTTTGCTTTTTTTATGCTGAAAACTCAATCCGAAAGATAAACATACTTTTAACTTAATAAGAGTACAATTATAAAACAAATATTAAGCAGATTATTGCAAAAATGAATATGAAAAAATAAACTCCCTGAAGTAAAGATCTCACGTTAACCAAACACTAGCCTAAGACATACGAGTCCGGAATGTTTCTCTAAGACGAATTCTCATCTGATTAAAAAATTTCACAATATTTGGGTTAATTTAATCTTCAATTTTAAAAGAGTGAAATTCATTTCTGAATGGCCTTAGGAACCTCTTGCAGAATATAATCCCATTGTTAATCTATATAAATTATATGGTTGGCCTGCTTCTCAGCTACCTATTAGCTTAACTTTAGCATCCGTTTCATTGATTATTTTACAACAAATTGTTTATTTGACACTTTTTTGCTGCAGCATTCGCCATAAATTTCACCATAAAGATTGCCTTTGTTTTGTTTAGGGCCTCATTTGGCGTCGATCGATTTGCATTTAAATGAAGTCAAGGTTGCTGCGTGTTGCTCACGTTGAATTTAAATTACATCTCCTCAATGATATGACGCACAAAAAGTTTCCAAAAAATACATAAATGCCTTAAAGTATTTGCTGGAGCAGATGGAAACAGCTGGAAAACCAGCCAAATTTATTATTTATGCTTGTCGTAATATAAAAACGACTATGCCAAATGTGTTGGTCGCATATAAAATTTAAATTTCATGCAATTACACACACACACACAGACTAAATGACGGACAGACTGACTCAGTTGCCACAGCAGCTTGCCTCATGCCGCATGCAGCATGCAGCTTGCAGCTGTAACTGTAATTGCCCAAAATTTTATGGTCCAAGCAACGGCGGAGACGCCGCAACGAGCAAGTACTAGAAAATTGCATTTGCTGCCAACAGGCAACAGAGGGCGCTGCACTAAAACGAAGACTAGCTGCAGCAACAGACTGCGATGGAATTTACAACAAGAAACGGCAGCAGCTAATTTCATCTGGAGGTGGAGGTGGAGGTGTATGTGCCATCCCCTCGTTGCAGCAGCAGGTGCCAGGATCACAAAATGTTTCGATTGTGTGTCGAGGCACGCACAAGTGCGGAACAACATGGCACCGAAATGCTATAAGGGTTCTCACCTTCCCCCCTCGCAAAATGCGGCAACTACACGAAAGGACACTTTACGCTTGAGATGAGCTCCAATTTTGGGCTAAAGACGAACACGGATATGGACACGGAAACCAAAAAGCAGCGTACGTGCTGTGCATTCTTTAGTGATGTTGGCCCCCAAAGCAGCTGGGCGTGGCCAGCGTGGGCGGAACTGGTAAATCCACTCACACTGAAGGCCACCTTGTCTTTTATTTGTGACGCGAGCTGAGGTTCGATTTGGAGTTCAACTGTAAAATGAGTCATTTATTTGTTTTGTTTATATACTTTTTTTTTTTTGCTTTCGGCTAATTTTTACGCAATGTTTTATTCACTTGCACAACTAAACGACTCAGACAACTTTCTTTTCTTGGCTGGTTGAACTTAAAAATAGTCGGGCCGCTTCTATTGTCACAATTGCCACGCTTTGTTTAACTCTCAATTGCGGCGCACAGACACACACACATAATTGTTTAGCCGGCTCCGATTTTGCACACTTTCGGCTTTTGATTCCACTTACTGACTGCACTTCTCGGTAACTCTCGTCCGCGTTGTGTGGCAACAGAAAAATAGAAACCACCAACGAAATCGAATCGAAATTTATATTTGTTTTCTTAACTGCCTATTCGACGACGCATGCGCCAGCGACGTCTTTCCGGCTGTGAGTGCGGCGTTCGTTTGACACGCGACGCCGGCGCTGAGCATGCGCCAAGCCCGGCCCAGCCAAGTTTACCAACTTGTTGCTGAGAGGAGAGCAGAGAAGGGGGGGAGAAAAATGCTCCAACGGAGAGTGAAAACGTCGTCGAAACGATCAGCAGCTGTTTGTTAAAGAGTTGGTAGAGATTGAGAAAGATGGAGAGAGCCAGAGAAGGAGAGAGACTTTTCAGTTGAGTAACAACAGAAATGAGGAGTTGAGGATGAATAAAGCTCGTGCGTCAGCAGCTTACATTACAATTCTCAACTTTTTGTGGGTAGAAAATAAAATAAAAATAAACCAAATCTATAATACTCCATACAAAATAAAACTAAGCATTATTAATTAATTATGCCCATAGTTTGTAGGTCCTTAGAGGTTAATGAAAATCGCATAGAAAGGTAAGTTGCTCAGACAAGTGTTAATTTGAAAACCATACAAGTTGGAGTCTCCATTCTTTGGAAACATTTATGTATATATACGGTACATATCGTGTATATTTAATAGATTTTTTACACGATTTATTTTTACCACTTTCAATGGATGCCAGAAAAAGTTATATATTTGAAGCATTCCAATTAAAATCGAATGATTTGTTTGGAATCGCATATGTAGAAATGGGCTGACAATTATGAGTTAGTTTCCCACATTGAGTTTTGTTGGAAGAGCAGATAGTTCATAGTTCATTCAACCTATTGTGCAGAGCTAACTACTTTAATTAAATCAGACAGTTGCATTACATGTTGATCAACCATTTGTTACACTTTTCTGTAAGCTTCATAAATAGCCAGGCGAATTATTGTACAATACTCGCAGTGAATCTGGGTGCCGCCGAGACAGCGAGCTGGCCAGTTAAATGGCTTAATCATAATGAGCCAAGAGCTGCAGGCAGAGACCAGCAAGCAGAGGTAAGCAAATTAGTCGCTAAAGCAAAACGTCGTCCGGAGAGTGAAAGTTGAAACCGGGTGGAAACCGAAAGAGCTGCCAGCTAGCTACAAGACTCCACAGACAGAGGAAGACAACAAGACGATGGCATTTAGCTGCAGCCAAGTTAAGCGACATTGAGTAATTTTCTGGTCTAGTCAGAGACCCCAGACCACAGTGGGTCCCCCCACGCTGCTTTCTTTTCCCTTGCTCTGAAAGCAACGTAATAATAATTTACACGTTATTTTTTTTGCTTTACTGACTGAGGCTGGGTGAGGTAACCAGCCAGCAGTTGGCTCTTGGCCCGTTTTGGCGGTCATATTGAAAGCGAAACCAAAATCTCAAGATTGTGGGTTGTGCCAGAAACGTCTTTCACGAGTTAAACCAAGCTAAATTGTTGCCAATTTCGGATCTATGCCAATGCCTGTCATTCAACCAGCTTCGGTTATTTTTCGACTTGTTTACCCCTTATTCAAACTTTGTTTTGGTATTGTTTTGTTTCGGTTTTGGGGAAATTACGCAAAGTCAAAGTCGCGGCTTCATATTGATCAATTATAGGTCATAAATAACGTATCCGCTTTTGAATGGTTGAACAAACTTTTTATAAAAGGTCACCAAGTGGGCGTAGCTATCAAATTGACTAACTATTTAAATTTATTGCAATAGAATACTGCAGCAGTTAAATATATATATTTTTTTATCAGCTCAATACAGCAACATGCGCCTCAAGGAGTATCCAGAAATAATTGTGGATGTGATACCGAAGCTGTATGAGAGCCATATCAAGGTTTTCATTACACATCTATATGGCATGGAGGAGCAGGTGGACCGACTACCTAAGAAGTTCTGCAAGATGTACACGACCCAGCCGCTGGCTAGTCAACTGCTGTACTATCTACGTACTCGTGGAGGCAACATATCGGAGCAGGATTTCCATATACTCAGGGAAGCGCAACCCTTTACAGTGCGCCTCAGCGATGGCAAGCGTCTGGAGCTGATGCTCTGTGCCGGCAATGACCTAGGCAACAGTCTGATGTTGCTTGTCCGCAAGGTGCATGGCGGCAGATTGCTCTTATACTATTCAGCTGTGCAACAGGACGATCTCTGTCTGCTGATGGGCAATGTAACCTACCAGGAATGGATTGCAAAAGGCACGGAGGTGCTCTTTTTAAATCTCCAGGCAGTCGATGAGCCGTTTAATCATGTGGATTTCGAAGAGATCGCCAGAGGCATCTACATATATGGAGAGTCTATGAAAAGGCCAACTGTGCTCAAGGTGCCCCTGCTGGGCTATGAGTATCTGATCAAAAGACTAGCTCAAACCTTGACACTCTATGGTCATATCAAAATGTCGAACGCCTATTTGGATAACTACAGGTGTTTGACATCAGATTTACGGCAATTTGAGGTGGCCGGCTACGTAGTTAGTGCTAAAGTTGTAGCTTCCAACAGCGTTGATTGCGATGCACAGGAAAAGCCATATCCTCTGGAAAAACTTCAGTGGTCGCCAGTGCCAAATCGCATGAATCTCATTCAGCTGTGCAGTCTACTGCGTCCACTGCATATAAATGGAATAGTTGCGTTTCATGCTTCAGGAAATGTGCCGCCAGTGCCGCAATTTCTCAAGCGCTTTCAATTGAAGTACTCGCCCAAATCCAAGGGAGGACTGGCTGAAGAGCAGGTCGATGTGCCTGAAACTCAGCTTATGCACTTGCCAAGTCAAGAGAACATTCCTCAGACACAAACCCAGCAGGAACAGCCAACATTAAGGAAACAACCTATTGTAATTATAAAACAAAGACAGCTCCACTTTGTCGATTACGATGATGATGATGATAATGAAATAGAATAGGAGTTTCAATAATTTCAATTTCAATAAAGATATATATAATATTAATATACATAACTAGAAGATGATCAGAGCTGAATAATTAAATAAATGAATAAAGAACTATGCACTTACCCAAAAATTCATATGCACATTTGCATCTATTAATTAGAGGGAGACCGACTTTTATTTCCACATAGCTAAAAGAAAAGAAAAGAAAGAGAGTTAGAAAATTGAAAGTATGTTCAATGTTAAACAAATTCAATTTTTGACACACTTTTTAAAAAAACGCTTTACTTGCATTCAAAGTAAAAAGAACTACTCGAATTTTTGAGAAGTACATAGGAGAGCATAATGAAATTTGTTTTTTTGTTTTTCAAATATGCAGCGAAGAGGCAAGTAAACTTATTCTGCATTAGGCCACAAGCTAATACATGCATAAATACAAACATTCCTCAGACACACATACACACATGCACATGTGAACGTTCATTTGATAATTTACACATCCCCATAATTAAGTTAAGGTGTCTGCCAATATACTTGCTAATGCAAAACATCATTTACAATGAAAGCATGAAGAACTGCAAGTCCAGGTGAACGTAAGCTAAGTGATAAAAAGATAGGTACTACCATTCTATCAGTCAGGATAAACAGATATGTATGTAGACTGAAGCGAATGTCTGTCTGGAGCTCGCTTGTGAAATTTCAACTTTGATTTTTCTCTGTAAAGCGTATCTCCCATCTCATACCGATAACTGCCACATTACATTTGAATATGAATATGAAAATGAATACTGAGCAGCAACCAGTTAATGGTGGATCCAACTGACGCATATAATATTAATATCAGGCTCGGTCTGGGTCCGCTTCATGTTTGCGTAAAAAAGGTTGTTAAAATTATTATGAAATGCCTGTTGGCATGCAGGAAGCCGACCCGATACCCGTTGCCAGATGCCCCAATCCCATTCCACTCGATTGTCCTACCCCAATCGGGTGGACAAATGACCACTTATCAACGTGTAATGAAATATGGCACATGTGTTCGCCATATATGAAAGACATCCCTTTTGACATCAGTCGCAGTAGTTGGCGTCTTTGTCCTCTTGTGGAAGCCTTTTGTCGTGCTCTGGCATGTTATATGAATTATGTTGATGGCCACGATGATGATACAGGAGCCAACAGCTAACGATTCCAACATTCGTATGTGTGTGCGTCCTGTGTCTCATTTATTACATTTTGGCTTTTTGACAGATTGCTAAGCGTAGTAACCGTTTCCGCACTAATTTCCGTGTCCTGCAACTATTCCAACATCGCTGCCTTTGGCCTTCTACTCATGCTCATCCTCAGCGCAGCCTTCGCTGTCTGGAGCATTAAAAGCCAAAAGCAAATTACTCATCATATCAACGGTCAGTTGCGCTGCTTTTTATGTATGCCATGCACAGGGATTTTAATAAATCGTTTTGTCCGAGACTCCGCTCCCTTAGTTCTTGCACTGCCGCCAGTCCTTGCCATGGCTCCTTTGCGCTGTTTTTATTAGTTTGTCAATAAAGTGCCAAAAGACGTTGATTATGATCGCTGCTGCCGTCATCCACTCGTCCAATGCCTTATGAGTTTTGCTTATGACCTGCAGGCTGAGACCATTTTAGGCTTCAGCAGACATTGAAGCGAATATATATCCTTTACTTATCCTTTGCTATCATTTTTGCAATCATCCGTTTTTGTGGAGACCGACTGCTGTTAAGTCGCAACATATTCGTAGCAAGAAGCTTCTAAGGAGGCGACATACTTGTGGCAAAGTGTGTTGCATGCCTTTCGGCGCACGGAGTATGAGTTGCAAGTTTCTTACATATACGAACTGGGGGAAAGAGAAACTGTTGCCCTCTGTGTGCACTTTGTAATGAATTTTTAATGCACTTTTGCTACAAGAGCATCTTGCAAGCATATACAAAGTCTCTGCTTTGGGGGCGATTTTGGGGGTTTTTAACAGCGTGTAACAAAATTAATTTTTTGCTACTTTATGCTAAAAGCCAATTAGATGGCATTACCTACACTTGAACTAGAAGCCAAGCACATGCGACCATAATTATGTTTAATTTATAATTGAATTAATTTTAAGTGGCTTTCAAGTTGCACAAAGCCACTTTTAATTGAAACATTATTCTGATTACTTATTTACGCAAAGGGTGTGAAGAGTTAAGAATATTTATTAAAGTTAAGCAGTTAAATACTTTTTTTTTAATTTTGTTAAGATTAACAATTAAATAAAATGGAATTTAAATAGGATATGGAAAAATCACTCTCTTCAGCCAAAGTATTCAATACGCAATATACCTATTGACTAAGACATTGCTGGGCTATTTGATAGCTCAAAGTATTTCATTTAATTTGCACTTAAATTTTAACCGTTCATAGTCTTAAATTTAACGGTACTTTCTGGCTTCAAAAACCGCGGGGAGTTAATTAACTTAAATTTGCGGAAAACGGCTGCGCGCACATGTTGCCTGTTTCTATAATTTTAATAATTAGAATTGGATGGCGGAAGGGTCGATTGTGCTGTGTTGTTGCCTTTGTGGTAGAGTTTGACACTTGGTATGGGCGGATAATAAAATTGCCAATGTATGACAATGGCAGCCCCCAGCCGATTCCCCAGTTCGCCTGATGCTGCCGGCAGGTGTTGGACCAAAAAGTAATTATCATAAACTAGGCTGGCACACTGGTTGGGGGCGGCCTATTGATTAGTGCAGCTTAAAGTTTAATTGAAAACTAGTAAGTATTCATCGTGGGCCATTTGACGGACAGTTCGCACGACCCGAACAACCGGACAAAGAGCTGCAAATGCGACACGCGCTGACGCTCAAATGTCAAATTAGACTCTGCAGTTGGTAAGCGATAACCAGTCGGCTGTGAAGGCAAACGCTCAGATTTAGAAAACGCAATTCAAATTAAATATGCCAGCAATTTGCTGGGCACGCTTTGATTGACAGCTGCATGCCGAAGGCGGAAACGGATGTGTCAAATCAGGGCGCAGGTTGCCAAAATAATAATAGCAGGCCACGCCAAGCAAAGCCGGCCCAGTTAAGCAGCGCCGCGGCGTGCTGCCGACATTATCATCGCCTGCTTAAGCCCTTAATAACATATCATTTTTGTGACACGCTGCCCCGCATCCGTGCACCGTATCCTGTTACTGAGTCGCGTGCTGCAGTGCAGCAATTATGAGCATTTAATCCGCGACCACAAAAACTACAAATTGGCTTAGGCAGCATAATTCGATGGTTAAGTGGCCAGCAATTGCACCACCATCCAAAACTCCGGAGCGAGGGTTGAAAGTCGGCATTCGAAATGTGAATTATGAATGAAAATCATATTTAATATTTTGGAATGTACATTTAAGATTTTCCAATATTCGTCTGCTGAGACGGCATGTTCTTATTCTCCTGTTTATTATGCAAAACGGACAAACGACCCCCCCAAAACAGAATACTATTAATTAACCTAAAATGAATAACTATTTCGGACATATCAGACTGTATTCTGGCGACTTTAAATATGATCTATCCGTGGTATATGCCATTGTGTGCTGGCCTGTTCTGATTTATTTAATTATTTATGTACTAATCATTTCAATCAATTAATTTTTAAATCTATAGCTAAGTAAAAAGCATAATTTTAAATTAAAAACTATTGCAATGAATAAATTATAAAAAATGTAAAACATTTTTAAAGAGAAAAACCTTTTTAATAGTATATAGATTATTAAGAAGATAAGCAATATATAGATATTGGGACAAATTTTGAGGATGTCTGGCAAACTATGTTCCAACTCATAAGTGGAGGTGGTTAGTGAGATGCTGAAGGTATCCTGAAAGCAAAGGTTTTATTAGGGGAAGAAAAGGAAACCGTGGTTCAGGCTATTGTAATCTATAATAAACAAAAAGGTAAGACAGGAATAAGAAGCGATTCTGGTAGATCTGGAGGGAACAGAGAATTGCAAATGATGATGATGAAATAATATAAAATATATATCATAACCTTTCTTAAGTAATCAAGAAAAAATACGATTTTTATATTGTAATTGACTTTATACTAAAGATGCAAATTAGTTTTATTTGGAATCAGTACTTGGAACCTGAACGGAACCAGATACTGAAAAAGTTTATTTCGGCTGAAAACACGAGCATACTTTTAGGGCATTATATCTGATCCCCTACGTATGCTATTATATTGAATATTTATAAGATTGACAATTGGAGGGCGACACTAAAAAGTGTATTACACGAAGAGTTGTCTGTAATCTTCTATATTACGATGCTTGTGATGTCAATAGCCGTGTAATTCCTTCCAAGAATAGATGGCGTATCATAGTGCCACTAATAATGTATTCTCTCTAAGCGCCTTAAATAAAATTCAGACTTTTCAAACAGAATTTATTTAATTAGGTTTCTATTTTGTGCTTTCCACAACAATAGGTATTGGTGAATCGAACGAATAACGCTTTAAAACAATCGAATCTTCGGGAGTCTGTGCTATAGGTAACTGATCCACAATGTGCGGATCCTCAATTTCGTTCATCAATACGTCATTCTGCTCGGCTGCTACGGTGGACATATTCGCGTCGTTCGAGTCGTCGTCAGTCATGGCCTCCAAATAACCGCTCTTTATTTTACTGAACGTTTCAACGTAAGGGATAACATGCGAGCGACAGCATGTGCATACTACACGATTGCGTAAGCCGTAGGCGTATGAACGCTTACTTTTATACTTGTCCTTAAATGGACATTCTCGCCTTGGCCTTGGTAATGTCATTTTTTTGGCAGTCCTGCCAACGTGAGTTTTCCAACTGTGCTTAAACGCGCGACGCGTTCTTTGTGGTATGAAGCGGCTGCGTTTCTGTGCTCAAGACGTATGAAACTTTTACGGAATAGAATAAACTAAGCGTGTGCTCAAGTGGAACTTACAGTGCATCTAATCCTTGCCGGAATAAGGGCACGCTCAACGGGAAACCGATAGAAGTTGTATTCAGCGCTAGGGCTTCGGGATAATATTCCAAGATGTGTCAAGCTACTCAACGACTTCAGCACGTGACCTTTCACAACATCCAACTTCTTTTTGCGACGCATCTGCAACATCACCTGCTGAACGATATCGTTCGCATTGATGAAGATAGATTCACCTTTTTGTAAGAATGCAATCGCTCTCAGCACATGCCGAGTGTATGCTTTAGGTGCGCCAGAAGCCGAGAAATCATCCATGCTTGACAAAAATTTCGATTAAAACAAAATAAAAAACAAATCTTGAAAACTTTTGATATTTTGTGTTTTCGATTAGTTTGGCTCGATATGTGGCGAGCAAGTGATGTGGATTTATAACCAAAAGGTCGAAAATCGGCAACATAGACTGAAAGTACATGGCTTATTGAGATTTTGATTGTGAACAATTATTTAAAGGCATTATAAGTAATGTAAGTAAAATAACAATTGATTGACTTCATTTAAAATGTTGTCATTTTTATGTAAGCGCTAATTAATGTTTTTTAAAATTTTTATTTCTTTTTCATATATATATATTTTTTTGTGCATTTGTTTTTATAATTCTTCTTACATGTATTTATGCGTTTTGTATTGTTTTTCATTTACATATATACTTTTGTCTTATGAACATATTCATGAGATCATAGTGATATAAGATATATATATATACATATATCTTTATATATATTAAATTATTACAGCATAAGATAAAATGTACAAGATATATGTGCGTTCGCTTGAGCTTTACACAAAGAATAACACATATTGATATATGCATTTTTATTTAAGAATACATATTGAAAATAATGGGGACTTAAGTCTAAACGTAATTGAAGTTATGTAAGTTTGAATATGTGTTCATCGCAGCTTTCAATAAGAAAAATTGGCAGCACATATTTAACACACATTTTCACTGTTTTGGCACCAACAATCTATACAAAATGGCATTTGATTTTTGCGCTATATACAAATTACGAATTACTTAATTTAATGTCGGAAGTTCGCATGGAATAAAATAAACAAATTTTCGCTATGTGATTCATTTTATTTTTGTTTCTTGCTTTTCTGCCTTGTTTCAGTTTATGGCAACCAAAAATCTTGTTGACTTTTGGGCGCGCGGCCACAAAACTTTACCGAGATCATTGTGAAAACTAATTAGAATGAACCATCGCTGGCGCTGGGCACTGGCAACAAAACACAACAATTTTGCTGGCCAATGACAACTTTGCGTTGAGTTCATTTTAGAAAAATTTACAAAAATTTTCATAGATTTTTTGTGATTTTTTTCGTTTTTGTTTTTTTTTTTTTTTTGTTTTTGTTTTTGGGTGTGTGGAATAGTTGTTTACAAATTATGGGTATGTGTATAAAAAAAAAATACGTAAGAAAAAATCATAATAAACAAATTTTGTCTACCTTTGCTGCTTGCTGCTGTTATATTAACTAGTGTATGTGTGGGCAACTCTCCCTTTCTCTCTGTATCTCGTCTGTAAAATGAATAACTCTTAAGCTACCAAAAAATATTGCTCTACTTACAGGCATTTAACATATGATAAACAATACATTTACTTAGATTTGAATTGCTTTGATTTGTCGAATGACAAGCGGAAAACTTTACATAAAAGAAACTTAAGGCTATGAATATGTAAACTAAAACGCTTGGCGATTCTAAACCTAAACTTTTACATAATTATGCCTAATGTACATATTTCTCATCGCGTTTAATGCAAGTAAAAAATTGCTGATGTAAATGATAAAAAAAATCCATGAGATCAATGCGATTTTTGGGAATAGTTTTTTTTTTTTTGTTTTTCATTTTTCTTTTCTTTTAATATGTTCATTTTCTTAATTATTTTTTGCTCTTTAAATTCCTTACTATTTTTTCACTGTTCGATTAGCATTGAAACGTCAAGAAATTTGGCAAAATGCTTTGAAACTTACCAAAAAATAATAAAAAAAACAAACAAAAATTTGATTTGCTGCGTGTGTTGACTTTTGACTTTGGCTAGCTATGGAGATCAATTGAGTTGCGCCCTCTATAAATTTCCAGTTAAGAGATCATTCAACGCTTGGCTTTGAGTGTTAACCAAAGGTAAACCTGAAAACGTGTCGTGAAGCTTTGGACTATTTCAATGGACATTTTGCGCAAATTTCTTGAACAATGTTGCTTAATAACTAAATTGTGAGACCAATTTGAAGAATGAACAAAATAATCCTCATGAAAATATATCCTGCTTACTGACTACCAAATTTAACTAAAAACATGTGTGCACAATTATAATAAACCATAGACAAAATCATCACAAAAATGGCATATAAACTATATACAAAAATGTTCTTCTTTTTTTTCTCTTTTTTTGTTTTTCCTTTTGTGTGGGATCTTTTCTGTGATTTTTCATTTATAACAATTAAAGCTAAATACTTTTTATGTTCAAATAATATTTCGTTTAAGATTTTAACTAATTTAAAGCAACATTTAATTAAGTTGTTTAATTGCTACAAATATTTATGATATATGTATATATTTTCTTGTAATTGAAATTACAATGTGAAGACGTTGAAAATTTGTTGTTTGACAATCAAAATTATAATACAATTAAAATATATTGAAAATATTTTGGAAGCAAGATTTTTGTTTTTGTTTTTCTTCATTTTTTTTTATATCTTTTTAAGTTTTCAGTTTAGTTTTTTTTTTTTTTTTTTTTTTTAGATTTTACGAAATGCAAAGCTAAATGCAAAATAGCAAGAAATAATCAAACTCAGACATTGAACTGCTGGAAGACCGGCCTACAAAAAGTATCTCAAAAGATGGCAGTTTACAGTTTTACTTGAATTTTACATATAGATTTAATATATAATATATATATAGTATGTGACATTTTCTTATAGAGTTTACAAAAATATGCTCAAGTTTTTTTTTTTTTGTTTTGTCGAAAAAGCGTTACCAAAAAATATGTGTTTAATATTTTTACTCGTATATTTATGTTAGCAAAAATATTTATCGTTCATCATTTGTCGTTTTTAGTCTTTAGCCAGTCTACAAATTACAATTGAGCAGTTTGAATTGTTGTTGCTTGTTTTGTTTTCTTAAAGGATAGTTTATCATTTGAGAGAGAAATATGAATATATGAATACGAATACAAATACATATACATTTATATTGTTCTTGTGTCCCGTCAACCTCCTTAACTTTATACACATTCAAGATTCGTTTTCCTCTAGATCAGCAAGTTCTTCACTGTATTTATATATGCATACGGGAATAAAATATTTTAGCTGATTTCGCTAAGGATTAAGTATAAATGGTTATTTATGGTTCTTATTCTTCTTGTTGCTGTTGCCGTTTGGCACTCATCGCGCTGCAAAGAAGCCACAGCCCATGGCAAGCACAAAAACGGTGACAACTGTTGGCCAAGTGAAGCTTTGCTGTTTCTAAAAGAATTCCAAAAAATAAATATTTATATATTGAGTATATGTTTTTGAATAATTTCTGAATTTGCTAAACAACTAATACTCATCATGCGGCTAACACAATTGTAACAGTAGCAAAGTCCCGCGGGTCACATAAATATGGAACTCCACTATGCCACGTGCCCTCTGCTAGTTTGACCGCATTCGCTACCCCACACACACAGCAAACACAAACACACACACTCACACACCGATACGTATATCATGGACCGGAACTTATGTAAGTGACCCAAATGTGGTTAATGGCTGGTCAATATAGTCAGCGTAATTATGTTTCCTAAAGCGCTCAGACTATCATTTAACAATTTCGTTTATCGCATTCAATGGACACACATATAAAATAATAATTTATGCCATTTATTTGTAGAGCATTCACGGTTGAATGGCCATTGTGTGTGGCACGTGGTGGCCCGGTCAGATAGATACTTGATAGCCAAATCAGCTCGAACAGCGCGCAATATTATGCAAATTGTGATCATTATATTTTGGGCATATTTTAATAGAATTTCGGCATTTGTTAAATCAATTGAAAGCACTTTGGCACATGTGCTTGTATTGCCACATAGATATGTGCATATGCAACAAGCACTTGTCAGCTTTTATATATGCAATGGGAAGCGGAGCGCCTACGTCAGATTGCAAATATTCTCACGATCTCATTAAAGCGCACTCTTCCGATAAGGCAAATCGCGAAAACTTGCGCAGCTTCCCAAGAGTGTTGGCTACGGGCCTCCAGAGTGTCGCAGAGTCTCGATAAGGGGCAATATGCAAGCAATGGAAACAAATGACACGCAACGCAACAAAAGGACAGAATCAAATAATAAATTATAAATAAAATGGTATCAAGTGGGAGCTGCTGCCTATGAGTGTGTGCCTCAAGTCTGTGTCATGCGATTGAGTTTCTTGAAGGTTGCAGTTTTTTTTCTTTTTTTTTTTTTTTTAATTGCGCAGGCAAAAAACAACAAAAAGAAATGTAAATAAAAGTGCGCCCAGTTTGTGTCACAATGCAATCTAAAGTACTTATAGACATGCATAGTATACACATATATATAAACTATATATATTATATGCAGGCTGTAATGCACACACTCACACACACACACACACACACACACGCACACACATGTGGCAGCTGACAAAGGCTGACTCTTTGACTGACTAAACTAGTAGTGGCAGCTCCAGGAGAGCGAGGAGGGCACGGCAATGGGAACGGGAACGACACTTGCCTCGATTAACATAAAGCAACGGTGCCGAAGCCACAGAGGGTGGGAGCAGGCGTTGGGCTGACTCCGGAGCAGCAGCAGCAGCAGAAAGCAGAAGCAGCGCTGCGCAATTAATTTTTATCACACTTTTAGCATGTGCAAAGTTTTGCCTTATAGAACATTTGAAATATGCACGACTCTTGTGGCTGCAACTCCAGCCCCAACTCCGACTCCGACTCCGACTTCGACTCCGCCTCCCTGTGGCAATTTGTCATTGCCTGTGACTATTTTTAGGCGCATGTTTTTGCTAGTTGGGCTTTGAAAAATGCTAGCACGTGTGCCATCTGTGCTTGCCAGCAGCTGCGCCAAGTTAATGAACTCGTATTTGTACCTAATTTGTGTAATCGGAATCTAAAATTTGTAATGGAATTCCGTTGCTTACCTTCTCCTTGGCCGTTCGCTCGCGCTGTGGGCTGTAGCTGTTCTCGTTGGCATTGTCGCCGCTGCCGCCGCAGAGATGCGTATTGTTGGTGCTGCCCGGATTGCTGGTCTTCTTCTTGCGCGGCGGTATGCGTCCGCTGAACTCCTGCAGCCGTTCGCGTCCGGCCGTAAAATTGTCATAGCGATCGTCAAACTCATCCCAGCTGGTCTCATGATCGCTCTGATACTCGCGCTCATCCTCGCCTGTCGAGGTCAGCCTCTTGCTGTAAAGTAGAGAGAGAGAGAGAGCGAGCGAGATAGTGAGAACATGATTATCATTAGAGCGGAGAGAGAGAGAGAGAGAGAGAGAGAGAGAGAGGCGAGAACATGATTATCATAAATTGTGTGTGCTCTTATCAGTGCATGCATAATTAAGTAAGCGCAAAGAAAAAAAATTGTGATTAATTTGCAAGGTTTTTTTTTTCATTTACATTAATTGAATTTTGCGTTGTTTGTGGGAAACGCTTTTTATAAAACTTCATAAAGACTTTAAGTGAACTACACTCTAAAAACTTGAATTAAATTAAAAAAATTCGACATAATTAAATTTAAATAAAATTCTTGTTAACAATATTATATATAATTTGAATTATGGCCCAGCGTAGAGGGTATTAAGAAGTCGGGGCAAAAGTTATTTTAAATGTTTTTTATATGCATGTAAATTACGGCCTCCAATGAAATTTATATATGTTCCACTTTGCATTGCTTATCAGCGAGCCGCGAAACATGAATGAAATTTGAAATGTTCTTTTGCTTGGCTTCGCTTGGGAGAGGGTTGGGCTGGATTGAGTTGGGTTGGGTACTTACCGTCTGGCTGCATCCGATTGGCTGCGCTGCAGACGCATCTTGGGACCGGTTGGCGCCAATGGTGTCGATGCCATGGCCGGGCCATAACCGTGCCGGCCAAAAGACGCAGTCGATGCGGCCACCGAGGTCGAGGTGGAGGCATTCGCAGTGTTCGGCGTGGGTGGCGGCGTATAGGTGGCATAGTAGGCGCCAACCGGCAGCGGGTGCCCGTAGGAGGCCGGATGATGTTGCAGCAAGTGTGATGCCTGCGGGTAGCTGTGGCTGTAGTGCATCGGTGGCGCCGACTGCGGCGCCGGCGGTTGCGGTGGCATTGGCTGTGGCGTTGTCGGCGCCGGATATGGCTGCCGGAAGAAGTTCAGCTCCTCCCCGGCGGCAAAGCTGATGCTAGTGCGAGGCGTGCGCGGCGGCACATGAATGCCATGGGCAAAGAACACATCCCCGCCCGTATAGCTGGGCGACTGGGCACTCGAGCACGAGGGGCTGGGCGGTGGCGGATACTGAAAGATTTGCGGCGCTGCAGCGGAGAGAAAGAGCAAAAAAATGCATATAAATAAAACGGCCATTAAGATCGCCAGCAACAATTACAATAATACTATTAATACTATGTAAACAAAGGTGTCGACGCTGTCATTGGCCCTTCGACTGCGGCTGCGGCTGTGTCTACGACAATGCAAGGAAGTGTCTAAGGTCGTCGGCCATTGTGCAACTGCCACTGGCACTGCAACTGCAGCTGCGACTGACTGGGCACTTAGCGGCGTTGTCTGCCCATAAAAGCGATTTTAATTACGGCAAGTCCTCGCTATATGCCAATCATAAAACCTATCATAAAATCATCAAGTGGCCCACCTTGCCAGCGGCTTCTTTTGTGCCGCGCTTTAAAAGTATCTTAAAAGTTAAAAGAGTATCTGCCTATAGTATACACGTATCTGATCTTCTTCTGAGGCATATCTCAGCTGAAATGTGTCTTCGAAGTTGCCAAGTGGCAAGTGCAGCAGCTGCAACATCATTTATGTATGCTAAATAAGTAGCTGTATCTAAGTTCTAGCCGTACAATGTCATTTCATATTGATGCAATATTTATTTGTATATTTATTTGCTTTTTCTTTTTCTGCCATCTCATGCAAATTGAGAACAGAAAAGCGTTGATAGCTAAGCTGATCACTTGATATGCGCATAAATTTAGTGTTATTGTTGTTGATGTTGTTGTTGTTTTAGTTGCCTGGCAGTTTGTCTTGCGCTTGAGGGGGGGGAGGGAAACATTTTCATATGATTTCTTAATGTTTATTTACTTAAAAAGCAATTTAATAGCGACATATGATTGATTGTAATGCAAAATTTATACAAATCACCCAACAACGCCGACTGACCGAAACGATAATGTCTCAAGCAGCTAATTGCCCCTAGGGCTAACTTATTTGCGAGTGAAACTGTGTGGTGCTGTATGGCCAGCATTCGTAACTGGCAAGTTTGGCATGTCAGTCAGTCAATTGGCTTGGCGGGCAGACAGTTTGAAATAGCTTAAGATACATAGATACAGATACGGCCAGAGGCAAGCTCAAATAATGTCATTCAACGTCAACCTGCAGGCCACTAATTTGCAATTGACCCATTAGCCTTGAACTCGAATAGCGTGCAGCGTAGCGCAGCGGGTCGCAGTGAAGCGAATCGAGTGGCTCACAGCTGTTGCTGTTGCAGTTGCAGTTGCATTGCAGTTGCTGCAAAGCCAAACAAAATCTGCGCTTAATTGCAGGCAACTGCACAGCGCCACTCCTTGTGCTCATGCGCGCATTTGTATCTTACAGATACTTTATGCCATTTGAAACTAGTTTGCCTGCCTGCCTGCCTGCCTGCCAGCCAGCTGCCTGAAGCTTCACTGCGACTCACGTGCGCTGAACGCTCGCGCGCTCCAACGTCGCATTTAACCTTGAAAATCTGCCAGTCCAGCTCAGCTGTAGCCCAAGTCAGTCCAAGTCAGGCATCATTACGGCTCGCATTTGTATCTTGTAGTTAGCTAGCTGCTGGCCAGCTTATATAACCAGCTAGCTCTATGTGTAGAAGTCTGGCTGGGCCATGCTGGTGCCTTTATGATGAGGCGCATTGAAAATGTTACTACTAATTGCAAATTGTGTGGAAAATTATTTGCCAAGTGTTAAAATTGCATTTGCATATGAGTATGTGGGCACAACTGTGTGTGTGTGTGTGTGTGCGATTAGGTGTGGTGCAGGTTGATGAGCTTGGGCTGTGATATTGCTTGACTGTGACTGAGCTGCATATAAGACAATTATTACGGTATTATACCATTCGATAGTCGATATTGATATATATTTAAATATATTATTTATACAATTTCTTATCTGAATCTATTAAACTGCTCAATCGATTCTAAAAGCTGTGTTTAAGCCAAACGATAATTTTTACGATAAACAATTATCGATAGTTATCGATAACACATACAATTAAGATGGCCTTGGATAATTTGGAAATTATCATCTATTTATTATTTCAAAAATATTTATGTGCATTTTATTTTAAAAGAATTTCTTCAACAACGAACTATTTATATTTATGATATTGCAATTACGATTATCTCCGATGCTTTATGAATATGTTTTTTTTTTTTAATTTTGTATCAATATTGAAATATGAAATAATTACCAATTATTACTTTGCTATCGTAAGCAGTTATCGATACTTTGCACAATAACGATAGTGTTCGATTTACAGCACAGTCGGTACAAAATATCTTCATGTATCGTATTTACTTAAATCTGCAATGCTACTGAAAGGTTAAACAATAACGACTCGGGATCACAGTTGGAAAATCAATTTCTATGTTTGTGTTTCTGTACCACCTCTAGCGTTTAGGAGTTTTATGGCACCTTAGCAATTTTTATGATCGCATCTCGGTGCGGGCGAGCTGCTGCAATAGTTGCAGTTGCAGTAAGTAGTTATTGTTGTTGTTAATGCTGTTAGCTGGTGACGAAACGTGACCAATTGTTAGCTAGTTTTCTGCATTTGTTTGGACGAATGCAAGTATTTTTATGGCCTGGCAAATGGCCGACAATATGGCAAATGTTTAATTGAATTGCGATTATTGCGAGGGACTTGCGGGTGTGTACGGGCCGCATTTGTCGCATCTGTGAGCTGTCTTAGAACAACAATTATGTGTGTAATTTACTTTAATTTTTCATACTCGCCGTTCCGCTGCTGCCGACTGCGGCAATGTTGCAACTATTGTTGAGGCCGCGGCAGCAGCAGCAGCAGCAGCAGCTGACAAACATCAATCAGGCAAAACACAGCAATAACAAAGCCCAAGTCAAGCTATAAGTTAAACTAAGCAGAACGTTAGAAGCTTAAAGAACAATTTACACGCGGCCCGAGGAAAAACCGAGCAGGCTGGCGGAAAAACGTGAAAAATGCTGAGCGCTCTGTGTGCGAGCGCGGGTTTATGTGTGTGTGTGTGTGTGTGTTACGCTTTGCTTGCCACAAAAGAACAAAACGTTTGACGACGTACCGAATCCATTTTGTATACCCTACCAATGGATATTATTATTTCACAACCCATATAATAAATGTTATCGTAAATACAAATCGTATATCATAATTGTTAAAGCAAATTTGTGTGTGAAAAAGAATCTGCATTCAATAAAAATTCTTATTTGTTACAAGATTTAACTATAATGAATGATGTTAAAGATCAGTGAATGCTAAACAGGGTATTTAAACGTCGGCTAAGTGAACGGCAGCTGCTCTTTCTATTTAGTTGTGCAGTTTTGCAGTTGATTACATGTCAGCCCAGAGTCGAGACCGTCAGAGCCGCAGCAGCATATGCTGCTCATGATGGCCTTGAAGTGTTTGAAAAATTGCAACAATAACAGCAGCAGCAACAGCAGCAGCAGCAACAACAACAACAACAACTGCAGCAACAACATTAACAACTAAATGCGAGTATGAATATCAGGCAACAACTGCGTCGTACCACAGAAATCGAAATTGAAACGAGTTTCAATGGATCTGGCATCAGGCTAAGTTGGTCACTGGGCCTGAAACCCCGATCGCTGATCAGATGCTAAATGTGTGCCAGTTCAAACTCAAAGTATGCAGGTTTATAAACTAGGTTTAAGTACGTGCGAAATTTTAACTCTACTTGAAATTCAATATATTGCATTTTTCAATTTGGGTTAAGGCAAAGATACATGCGAAATCTTTATTCTTCTTTTTGAAATCGAAGGCAAAGATACCTCTGAAATCTTAATTTTTCTTCCTCTATATGCGAAATGTTAGTTCTTCTCAAAATATATAAAGTATGCTATTATATCATTAGAGCTTAGATAAAGATACGCGTGTAATGTGAATTCTTCCTGTAAGCCACAATATGAATTTAGTACAGCTTAGGTTTAGCTAAAGATACATGCGAAATGTGAATTGTTTTTCTAAATACCATTTGCAGAAAAACGAAACTTTGTTAACTGTCACTGGAGCACTGACATTTATTAATGATGTCACGAGACGGCAACAACAACTGCAACTTCAAGACAGACAGCACAAAGGAATGACTGTGGTATCCAAAAGGAGCAGCCGCTGCTTGTTGCGTTGCTTAATTCTACCCAAAAAAAAAACCAAAAAAAAAGCCAAGAAATTTCAAAAATTGGCATTACAAAATGTTATATAGTATGTTGCCTCGCCTCACCGCCATGCCACACGCTGCATTGTTGTGTCACACCTGACGCCCACACACACACACACACACACACACACACACACATACACACACATGAAAAAAAACGCAACCAAATCGAGTGGAATTGAATTCGGGCTTTTAAGGCGATTTGCTGGCTGTCACGATGCGACGAGCTACAAATTTGTTGGCTCGTCGATCGTCAGGCTGTTGGCTTTAATTAGGCGAGGCTGCAGCATGAGCTCTCGCTTTGTTTTTATTTTTTGTTGTTTTTGATTCAGGGCCAAAGTGTTAACGGTACAATTTGTAATGCTCCAACCCAAATTCGAATTCCCCAATGCGGTCAAGTGACTAATTGCCATTTTTTTGTTGTGTGTGCTTGATATTCAGGAAGTCGCCAGTTTGCGAACTCAAAAAGAAATCGCAGTCGACAAAATTCTTGACCAAGTTGTCAACAAGATTCTTGTCTATATATAACAAATGCTCAAAACCATTTTGGTGTTATAAAAAAACCGTATTTGAGACGCGGATGAGACAACGAACAAAGCAAAGTTGAATGTCAATCAGCAGGTGTCGCCAGGTCGAGCGATCGATCGATCGATCGATCGATTGCCATATTCAACTGTTAATTACCAATTTTGGTAGCGTTAATTAGCCATTTGTGTAATGTGCTTTACCGTTATGAGACGCGCAAATTTGGAAGCTGTTAAAAATGCGGAAATCACCTCAAGAATTTTGATGAAAGTGTGAGTGTGAATGTGAGTCACACGAAGGAGAAAGTTCTTGAGCAAGATTTTTGCTGGATTAGAAGTAAAAGTTGGCTGATGCATGCAATC